ATGTTGCATTAATACTAACTGAGCAAAAAAAGAAAAATAATGAGTTTTAGGATCTACAGCAATCTAATAATTTGAGGCGAGTCTCTTCTTTCACCCATTCTATCATCTGACAAGAAAATTCAAATGTATGTCTCTTAAGAAGCTGCTGAAGAGTGCAACTACAAAGAAAATAGGGAAGTAAAAGTATTTCCAAAATTTCCCTGTTTCATGCCTCAGTTTCTATAGTTACACCACAGAAGGCTCTTAGTTCTACAGCAAGGTAGAATCAACACATGGAAGAGTTTGATGCTTGTGCAACCTTAATGTTTGTTACTTTCAGATCTGCTCTTGTCGACTAAGAAGGAACAATTCCATGCATAGATACTTCTAACAAACAAAGCATTTACTGGCTTATGAAACCAGTTTCACTAAAAAGGGCGGCCTGTTCAATATAATTCTTCAAAAAAGCAAACTACATTGATCCGATTTGGGAACTATACATCCTGAGCACATCCAGGAGTTTGGTTTCTGATAATACACTAAAGCTTAAAACAAGCCTGGGAAAAACAAATATAGAGATTTTTCACATCAATGAACTTGCGAATGCCATCATCACCTTGTATTGATCGTGGCTCAACACTCAATTAGGCACATAACTCAAACACATCAGCGTGAGTGAGTTAGCAACTTTGTCAAAATGAAGTTGCTATATTCATAGCCAAGCTTCTCTGGACCAAAAAAGATTAAAGTTGACGGAATTTTAAAAGTACCTTTGGAATTTTATGAAGCTGATATAGGGACACACCTAAAAATACAAATAAAGCTTCTCAGAAAATAATTATTTTGGAAGAAAAAAAATAACAAACACCAAAAAACAAAAAAGTTCAGGGCTTCAGGGCATTTGGGGGAGGGAGGGTTAGGTGTTTTCAGCTGTTCTTCTTCTTGCCCCCTTTAGGAGATTGAAACAGGAAAAAAGGTGACAATAATTATTTCTAACCAGTACCAGTGTTCATTATGCCACAGAAGTGTATTTGAAACTCTTATTCACCTGAAATTACTTTTACTGTGGAAGCATCTAGAATTACAACTAGAAGTCAAACTTAGATCCATTTTAAACTGTAGCATTTACTGTATCATCTCAACACAGCGAACTCGAAAGAGGTAAAACACCTGTGGGGTTTTCCCACTTCTCTAGGATCTGAAACTGATGGAGCCATTTATCTGTCCTCAATAGCAGTTTAAAGTATTCTTATTGTTTACCATTATGTCTTACCATAATATAGGGCTCATTTTAAAGTAGGTTAATAAAAACTGTTCCATACAGTTATGTCACACAATTAGAAGTATATAGAAAAAGGTAAAAAAACCAAAAACCAAACCAACCAAACAAAAAAAGACAAAACAAAAAACCCCAACAAACAAAACAGAAAACTACACAAAACCGAAACAAAACAAAAAAAAAACCCACACCCACAACCTAACTGGTTTGCTGGTTCTCCAACTTCAGAGACAAAGAAAAATACAAGCAAACCAGATACACCTTAACCTCAAAACTTTTTAAGTGGGGAAAGAGAGAAGAAAGATGTTTAATCACTATTTATTTTAGCATTTTATTGTTAAAAATTACCTTCAAACTGGCTACTGCCCCGTATCCAACAGCTTGATGTACTGCAGCACTGTGCTCTGCAACTTCATCCACTAAGATTTTCTCTGCCAGCCTACATTTCCCAAGCATTTTGGTCCAACATACTCCAAAATATGTCACATTTCACCAAGCACACTTACTATAAGTGTATAAACACGGTACTTTATTATTTAAAGTATAGCTTCCATAAACAAGCTATAGAAGCTTATCACAGCCTTGGAACACAGGCCAGTGCAGAAATCAAGGTCATACACACTTATTCCAAGCCAGCCTTGCAGAAATCTCAGGCATTACAGACAAACAAGGATCTTCCCCAGGCAACTTCTATAAAGCACAAATAAGGAAGACAACATAATCTCAGTTTAGTAATGATGCACCTTCACGGCACACACTCAAATGCGTACCTACACAAAGCCCTTAAAACCAAGGACAGCATAATCTTTGGGTCCAAACTCATCTGCACACATAGAAATTTAGGTCAAAACCCAGCTCAGTTTTATTCAGGTTACAACATGGCCACTTCGCAGCAGACAGCGAATCTCAGGTTTTGACAACCTTCCAGCACCATCCTACATTTCCTCCACAGTTTTTCATTCCTTTGGCTCACTTTCTACCCACTCACTTTTTATGCATCACTCTTCAAACATTGATCAGAGATGTTGTTCAGAGAGAAATACATTAATCCTTCATTCCGCTGCTCTATTTACACAGTACTCAGATTACACCAAATAGCATTCAATAAAGCTTTGTCCCTGCATGTGATTTTTGGGGGTCAAGAAGTTGCTCTTGTTCACAGCTAGGATATTGACTGCTCTCTTGTGTAAATACAGCAAAGAATGTAGAAAAAAGCTGCATAACTTGTCACTGACACTGCTTATAGAGTTTGTTGCAGAAGCTGGTAGATGGGGAGGAGAGATCACACCACAGAAAAAGACAGTCCCGTGATTTAGGCAATTTAATTATAACCCTGAGAACTAAGCTCTGCTCCTCTCTCTCCTACATTGTAAGTCCCAAACCATAACTTTTGTCTTATATAAGTAGATGTCACACATTGTATGTACCTTCCTCTTTGAACATTATCTGCAAGTACAGGCACAGAGAATCATGTACTGAAAGCAGACCACCAAAAGACCGTTATATACTCTGACAGAATGGAAATGGATACAGACATCTTGAACTGGATGCAGAAAATTAGCAAGTAGCATTTACATTGATGACAGACTTCATGCCTCTACCTATCAGCAAATCTTTACTTTGAAGTTTGTTTGGATTTGTTTGTTTTTACACTGGTAAAGTTCACTCTTGAGAAACTCTCATAAAATACAATAAAAATTCATAAGAAAAATAACACTGTCCTGAATAAAATGAGATTAGAAGTAAACTCCAAAATTATATGATCTAACAAAAAAACTGAATATCTATGCATTTAGTACAGCTAACAGTACCACAAACTAAATAACAAATCAAGTCAATAAAAACCACATCTCCTCAGAGAAATCACGCAATAACACACATAAGCAGTACACGCATATTGGTGGAATGATCTTCATCCTCTCACTTCTGAGCACCTACAAATCTGACCTCTTAATTCTAAAAGATTACAGATTCTGTTTTAAAGTAAATATGTCATTATCTTCGTTCTAACATGCCTCAAAAGGATAAAAAAAATGCAACAATAACCTAGCCCTAGCCAAAGCAAGAAACCCTTATTCTCTGTTTCTGGCAATAGGCAAACTGCTCACATTTGGAAGGTGAACTTGAGCACTCAACAGCAGTACCTGCAGAGCAATAAATTAATCAGTTCACAGTGAGGGCCTACATACTCTATTTGGCATCCAGTACTATGCCTGAGCATAGAATTCGTGCTATGCCTAAGCATGTCACATTTTAAATTCAAATCCTCAGGTTATGTAAAGAAAACAGATTCGTGACTTTGAATCTTGAGTCGTGGAAAAACAAACCAGAGTAAATCAATACTTAAACCAAATTAAGCACAAAAACTTTCAATCCAGGAGATAAATTCAGAAAAACTTTACTTGCTGTTAATAAGTTTTCCTTTTGGAGGTGGGGACAGGGAAGTCTCTAATAAGATGCTGGACGCACTAGAATAACACCACACAAATACAAATGACCTTAATGTTTTTCTGGCAGTAGATTGCATCTGAACTAAGAAAAACAAGCGGAGAAAAGGCATCTCACTTACCAGAAAGCCACACCACTTGCTTCAAAATATAGTTATAACACAGAACCAGCAAATTCCATCGTATAACAGCAGCAACTAACCAACTCCCAGTTTGGCTCCCAAACACAATCCCTGGACGCCCACCTCAAGACAGCACTCCCACTAGCCAGCACCACAGACATGGGCACTGCAGCATGCGCTGAAGGTCAACGTTTTCAGGCCCCTTTTTTATGTATGTTCCCCTTAATCACGTCAAAACAACGGGACCGAAAGTCGCCCATCAAAGCACGCTTTGCTTCACGAATTAAAACACCGAGAATTACCGGACGGGAGGGGGGGAAGGCAAACCGCGCACTCCTCCGCTCCGCAGCCGCGCAGCAAAACAGCGGATACTGAGGAAGGAGAGAGGAAGGGAAGGATTCACCAGGCGGAGGGACTTCGTTAGGCATTACGCGAAGTGCTGACAGCACGGTTCGTTTCCACGGGTTACGAGGAGATCCCGCTCGTGCCCCCCAGCCCAGACCCCGGGGCCAAGTCCCCCTCGCCTTGTCCCCCCTCCAACCCAGAGAACCCCGGTACCGGCTCGCCCAGCGCCCCATCACACCGTTCCCCCCATCCCCAGTCGCGGGGGGAGGCGGCGAAGGTCCTGCCCTTGGGGCTCGCAGCTCCCTTCGCCCAGGGGATGATCCTCACCTGCATCCCCGGCAGGCCCGTCTGTACGGGGGAGTGAGCCATGGCGGCGGCGGCAGGGACGGGGCAGGAGGAGGGAAGGAGAAAAGGAGGAAGGAAGCCCGGTCTGCTCAGGCCGCTCTGGGGGACAGGGCTTAGCTCATCTCCACGTTCCCGTTCACACACAGCCCTTCCCCCGAGCGAACGGCGCCTGTGGTGGGAAAGGGGCCGTCCCAAGCACGGAGCCCCTCAGGCCCCCGTCACGGATGCTAATGCCGGCAGCCGCTCCATCCCTCCTCTCTCTCCCTCCCCTTCCTCTTCCTCCTCCAGCCGGCGGCACGATGACTAAACCTGAGGGGGGGGGGGGGGGGCGGCTACGGCAGCATGCGCGCGCGCGCGCCCGCCCCGCCCCTGCCACCCGGGTACCTGCCCGCGCGGCCCCGCCCGGTGCCCGCCTCGTCGTCCCCCCTCCCGCCGCCATCGCCTAACGGTGAAGGGGTTCGAGCGCCCCCCGACCGTACGTACCGCGGTGTACGGAGACCCGGCCTGAGCGGCTCTGGCGGTGCCTGTCCCCGAGCGCCGGGCTTGCATCGTCCCCGGGGCCGCAGGCACCTGGGCAGCGGCCTTGTGGGGTTTGCTGTGTCTCGTCCTTCGTGGTTTCGGTGGAGCCAGCCCGCAGCTGAAGAGCCGCTTGTCCTCTGCCGCCGCCCCTGCGAAGGGCGGCCTGCCGGCTGCCGGTGAGGCAGCACAGGTGAAACAGGCGAGCATCAGGCTCGGAGGCTGCTCGCTTAAAAGAAGACAGCCGGGGTGAGGCGGTAGATCGAGACGGCAGAAACCCTAGACATTTTGTGGTATGTCCTTTTCCTGCCTCCCTTTCACTTGGACGCTCCAAGAAAGGTCAGGGTAACGCTATCGCTGTGCTGAGGTATATGGTTTCAGGAAGCACTTCCTGTCTGAAGTTGCAAAAGCAGCAAACCAAGTGACAGTCGTGCTTCCACAACGCTTCCTCAGTGGAAGAAGAGTGGGTCAGCAGGCAGGTCTTCCACACACAAGACAAACCCTGAGCCCAAGCACAACCCTCCAGAACCTGACAATGATGTATTCCCTTTACTTGGCTTATTTAAGATGAGAGTAAAGAGTTCCATCACACAATTCCCAATGCACTATGGACTGCCAAAGAGTCTTGCCTTTTTTTACCTGCAAAAAAAAAAGCTGCATAATCTCATGAGTATTAAAATTATTGAAATCTGTCAGGCAGTGGGTCTGGGACCCCCAGGGCAACAGTTCACCATCTTTTTAACTGCATTAAAGAAAGGGCTGAGCATCCACCACAGCATAAATTGCTTTTTGGTAGGTAATTCGCTAGAAAGTTTGTACAAATATCTTATCTGCAGGAAACATAGAAGCCTTCCAGAAGCGGAGGGGAGCCTACAAGGATGGCAGAGGGGGACTCATCATCAGGGACTGTTGTGATAGGACAAGGGGTAATGGGTTTAAACTTACATAGGGGAAGTTTAGGTTAGATATTAGGAAGAAATTCTTCACTATGAGGGTGGTGAGGCCCTGGCACAGGTTGCCCAGAGAAGCTGTCGCTGCCTCATCCCTGGCAGTGTTCAAGGCCAGGTTGGACAGGGCTTTGAGCAACCTGGTCTGGTGGAAGATGTCCTTGCCCATGGCAGGGGGATGGAACTGGATGATGTTAAGGTCCTTTCCAACCCAAACCATTCTACCATTCTATGAAATGTAAAATAGTCTTACTGATACCCGGTTAGAATTCCCACTGAAGTTTTTCCTATAGTTATGGTATTCTTACCTAATATGGTCTGAGCTAATGCTACACAATCTCGTTTTCCTGAAACCTGTAGAAACATAAATGTCTCTAGATTTCTACCCCTCAGTCAAACTCAAATAAAATTAGCTAACAAACAGCCTTATTTGTCTATGTACACACACATTGATTGTTTCCCCAAGCTCTTGAGTACAGTGAAACACAGTGTTTTCCCAGCTCTTGACTATAGTGAAACACAGAAAGGATCATGGATAAAAATTGTGTAGAAAATTGAACCATTGGAATTCCTCGAGAAGTTGTTCATGAAGGAGTTGCTAGTTGCCTTAATGCTGGAATGGAATTTAAATTATGGGTGTTTTAACTTCAGGAAATATGAAAATGTTTCTACTGTTCACTGGTATGTAATTTTCTCAGAAATGCTGAAGCTTTCAATTGAGTTTTACCTCAGTCAAAAGACAAATAACAGTCACAATAACCCATATCAAAAATTTCTATTTGTTTTCTAAAGCATTTTTACAGTCATCTTTTTCTAGAAAAGGTAGGGCTTTAGTATCTCAATGGCTGCTCCACTGTGCGTAGTAGCTTTTTTTTTCACTTGCTAGAGAGAAATTCAACCTTTTCCTTTGTCCCATGAGGCCTATTGAGCTTTCCCTACCTTACATAATATTAAAAATCCTTCTTGAGAAAATGTCAGGCTTCCCTTTGCCTGCGCAGCTTTATTTTACTTTTTTCTATATAGTCATTATGATATCAACTTTATCAGTTTCTTTACTTTTTTTCTGCAGTTATACACCCAGGTGCAGAGTGAAAATAAAAAAGGTATCATAGAATCATAGTTAGGGTTGGAAAGGACCTTAAGATCATCTAGTTCCAACCCCCCTGCCATGGGCAGGGACACCTCACACTAAACCATGTCACCTAAGGCTTTGTCCAACCTGGCCTTGAACACTGCCAGGGATGGAGCATTCACAGCTTCCCTGGGGAAAACATTCCAGTGCCTCACCACCCTAACAGGAAAGAATTTCCTCCTTATATCCAGTCTAAACTTCCCCTGTTTAAGTTTGAACCCATTACCCCTTGTCCTATCACTACAGTCCCTAATGAAGAGTCCCTCCCCAGCATCCCTATAGGCCCCCTTCAGATACTGGAAGGCTGCTATGAGGTCTCCACTCAGCCTTCTCTTCTCCAGGCTGAACAGCCCCAACTTTCTCAGCCTGTCTTCATACAGGAGGTGCTCCAGTCCCCCGTTCGTCCTCGTGGCCCTTCTCTGGACTTGTTCCAACAGCTCCATGTCCTTTTTATGTTGAGGACACCAGAACTGCACACAATACTCCAGGTAAGGTCTCACGAGAGCAGAGTAGAGGGGCAGGATCACCTCCTTCGACCTGCTGGTCACGCTCCTTTTGATGCAGCCCAGGATACAGTTGGCTTTCTGGGCTGTGAGCACGCACTGAAGCCGGCTCATGTTCATTCTCATCAACCAGCACCCCCAAGTCCTTCTCCGCAGGGCTGCTCTGAATCTCTTCTCTGCCCAGCCTGTAGCTGTGCCGGGGATTGCTCCTACCCAGGTGTAGGACCTCGCACTTGGCATGGTTAAACTTCGTGAGGTTGGCATCAGCCCACCTCACAAGCGTGTCAAGGTCCCTCTGGATGGCATTCCTTCCCTCCAGGGTATCAACCGAACCACACAGCTTGGTGTCATCAACAAACTTGCTGAGGGCACACTCAATCCCACTGTCCATGTCAGAGACAAAGATGTTGAACAAGATAAAACTAAGTTTTGTCTTTTGAATTACAAAAGGTATAAAGCTGTCCATTTCTGTCTATGAGTATATTCTTTGGGACTTAAATAGTTTTCACAAGAAACATATACTTTATTTGCTAGAGTTATTTATATTCTATCTTGCTAATTCCCTTTCTACATTTAGTTTGGTAGATGAGGAGGAGGAATCACACCACAGAAAAAGATAGTCCCGTGATTTAGGCAATTTAATTATAACCCTGAGAACTAAGCTCTCTTCCTCTCTCTTCTACATAATAAGAAGTCCCAAACCATAACCTTTGTCTTATTTAAGTAGATGTCACACAATTTATGTGTGCACAGCACATAAAAATCTTCCCATGTTCTAGCTGGTCTGATGTAATTTTCCCCTGGGCCACTGTGAGCTCTTTCTCTCACTCATATGCCATTACTGATGGCATAAAGATCATGGATTTATTTCATCTCATGGTTTCAAAGTTCCGCATTACATGTTCAACAAAAGACTGCCTAAAAATGGTCGCTTGAGCCAGTGGAATCAGCTTTATGAGCAGACTTACTTGTTAAATGTGGGAAAACAAAGGAGCAGATTCAAAACTGTGTCATATACCAGACACCAGGCCAAGTTAAGTTTTAATAAAGTCAGAACAATGTATTAGAATGTCAAATTTCCTTCAGCTTCTGTATTTTATACTGTATCTTATGTTCTGATACCCTTCCAATTTCTCCCCTGGACCTGCAGAAATTTATACCAAAATGGTTTTGAATGTAATCGTAAAATAATGCATGTGCTATTAGTTCTGTAAATGCTAATCTTTCAGTGTAATTTTCATCTCTGCCCTCACAGACAAAACAGCAGAAGCCTTGCAAATTTTCCTCTCATTTTCTGAACCTTTTCTGAGAAAAGAGGATTTTGTGTATTATACTCCAAAAAAAAAGGCTGGTTTTAATCTCTCAGGCTACTCTTGCAGAAATTGTTATTAAAAATAGAATGATTACATGTTGTGCTAACCTACCATCCCAGTAAAATGACAAAGACTTCAAAAATAAACAGTTCTTATCATTAAGACAGTTCTCTGTTGTATCTTTTTGAAGCCAGATGTTTCCAGCATGCAAAGGTTCAATTTATTTTATGTGTAGACTTTTCAATGCCTGATTTGCTTTAATTTAAAATGATACTTTGAACATGCAGAGATTTTCTGCTGTGATAGTTATATAAGAAAAAAGTTACAGAAGGAAAATATAATTGCATAATTGAAATGGCAGCGACTGTGAACTTCTGTTCATTCACTACCCCTGAAGAAAAAAACATTTTCCTTGCTAAGACTGAAACTTCCGAAATAAGCTCTTTCAGAATTTGTAATATGCCATAAGTAAGTAAATAATCCTATACTAACATAAACACACTACAGAAAAAGCACTGTGGATTGTAACTAATGGGGCATTTATCCACGAAATATAGCATGTGAGAAATGTAATAGTGAATAAGTAGCAGGCACCAAATTTACCTGGGGAAGAGAAAAGAATGAGAGGGCTGAACACATGACAATATTGCTTCAGTAAGGTGGCAATGGGATTATGGAGACTCCCCACAGATAGGGTTGAGTTTGTCCATCTTGCATGGCAGCAGGGGTATCCTGCCCTCCATGGCCTGATGGCTGTAGAATTAACTGAATCATCACAGTGCCATACTGTTCACTGCTCAGCTTGTGACTGGATTTTTTTCTAGCTTCCTTATCATCTTTATCCAGCATTATCTCTTGTTTTTCCTGTTTCCTTTGTGTATGCTTTCTTGACTTATCAGTTTCATAGTAAACTCTTTTTAACAACCTGTGTGAAAATGTGTCATTTCTTCTCTTAGCTGTATATATTAGGTTCCTAGTTTTATCCTTCTTTTAACTGCCCTGTTAATAGCCTGATGTGTGATGTACTCAGAAATGAACTCTCAATAGTTTGTCAGTAAGGCTCCATTTTGAATACCAACATAAGAAATGCATGACACTTGCCTGTATTGTATAATGCAAAGTAGCTTTAACAAGGCTTTTCACAAACAGACCTTAAAAAATGTAAGTGCTCCTGAGGTAAAAAGGGAGGTCCTCATATCCATCTGTAAATGATGATAGAGAAGAAAGAAAAAAACCAAAAACATTTCATAGGAGAGGCTGTTACCAGTAGACTGTCACAGGAATCCATCTGGGACCAATCTTGCTTAACATATCCATGAATGACCTAGAAAAGCAACTAAAGAGAAATGATGAAATAGTCTCATGTTGCCAAGTATCACAAGGTAAAAACTAAACTGAAGCACAAGGAGTTGCAGAAGAATCTCAGAATGAGTGTCTGCTGAGTGACATACCAGCAGATGGGAGTTCAGTATTGATAACTGTACAGGAAGAAAGCAGATGGGAAAAGAATTCAGCTTTACACACCGGAGTTCCTACCAGCCAAGAAGGAAATCTTGGCTGTCACTGAGTTCAAAACAGTCAAAAGATAAAACTATGTTGGGAGTTACTAGGAAAGGAACAAAGAATAAATGAGGCAGCACTGTTA